AGCAAGGCAGAAAGGATATACATATTGCGAGACAAATGCTTTGGTGGAATGCGCCTGGCGTGTTCAACCTCTTGTAGCTTTTCAGTAGACATTCAAATGGTTGATGAAAATCTGAATCCTTTTTCCCCTTTCCTTCTTTGTGCAGGATTCTGTATGATAAACGTTTTAGTGCCTTTCATTTTCCGGTCATGGATGAAGATGCACCAAATTATCGTACAATAATCCAAAATCCTATGGACATGGCAACTCTACTGCAGCGTGTTGATGGTGGGAAGTATATCACTTGTAAAGCATTCCTGGAGGATTTCGATCTCATTTTAACCAATGCTAAGGTGCATGCATAACATTGTCTTTGAATACTATAGATTTCCTTTTACTTGTCATAATGATTACTATCATATCTCTGTTTTTCTATTTTCAGCTAAGATACCCTGAGAAAGTTCTATTTATTTAATATTTCTAAAGTAAAAAACTATATTACTGACAGTCACGGCTAAACACGTAAAAATAGTTATCTTATAGACATTGTAGTGTATTTAAAAATTATAGTCATGCAATGAAGGTTAATAGTGCTACACAGTATATTCACTTGATGCAAAATTCTTAATTTGTTCATTAGTTTATTCTTTGTTTTATACTTTTTAAGTTCTAATAATTGTTCTAATATGACTATTTTGTTAATATATATTTGTTAATTTGACAATCCATTTTATGTTTCTAGTTGCAGATCAGGCATATAATTTTTCTGCAATATTTTATTATAATTCATTAGATAGTTCATGGACTATCACGAGTAAAATTTTGTATTTTAATTATTAATTGCTATATGTTGAGGCTTATGCTTTAAATTGTGCCTCGCCTAAAGGAGGCGAAACACCTCAATACCTGATTTGGCCTTTTTAAACACTGATTTCACCTCAATCGAATAGGAGTTGCATAATATTTTTGTTGCATGGCTTAAATACTTTCTGTAGTAGCTATTTTAAATACTTCTCTGGTCAATCTTGTGAAGCAGTATTTGTTTGTTTCTGTTCCTCTGGTTAGAAATACAATGGAGATGATTACAATGGAGCGAGGATTGTCAGTAGAGCTCATGAGCTTCGAGATGCTGTATGTTAATCTATTAGTTAAACTTTGTGGCATGTTCAGTACGGAAGATTGGATAGCACTGGAAGGACAATATAAGGAAGGAACAAGAAGCTGAAATCTCGTTCATTATATTGTCTAGTTCTATCCAATATTGCGCACAAAAATGCACTTAATTTTCTATAGCTAAATCTCTACTCCTTTGCATTTGATATGAAAATATTATTTTTCAGGTGCACGGGATGCTATCCCAGATGGATCCCTCTTTGGTTGCATTTTGTGACAAGATTGCAGCTGAAGGGGGTCCAGTGTCCTTGCCTGATGATTTGCAGGACTCGGTGTTGTTGCAAACTCCTGTTGTACAGGCAACATCTGTGACTCGGGCTAGTGCCCGTCTTCGTAATGTGCAGCCCGAAGTTAATCTAGATCAAAGCTATGAATCCCTAAAAAGGCAGAAGAAGCATATTGATAACTCCCACACAGGTAAAATTTATTCCATTGTTTGACGTCAATTATATTTTCATACTGGTTCCATTTATTTTACTGTGGGTCATTTTGTTTCATTTATTTTTCTTGTGTGTTGAATTAACCTTTGGGTGCCTGTTTGACATGAATTGAAGAAGAAAGAAAATAGACTGTAATGAGTAACTTTAGTACTAGACTGTTTCAAAATCACAAAATAGTCCAGATAGCGAGAGAGTGAGTATCAAATTCAAAAAACTTTTCTACAATGGGAGATACTTATGGGGTCTTTTGAAGAAGAAAGAAAGATACAATTTAAAACTCATATATATAATTTAATACCTGATAAAAATAATCCATTTTGTGGTAGCTTAATTTGGTAAATTTTTGCTCCTCAAATTTATACAGCATCAGCTCCTCGGGAAATAAAAAGTTGATTCCATGTAACTTCTACTTTTTCTAAGCTTAGCCAAACATGCTCTACGAGACTTGGATTTTTATCATTACTACCTAGGTGGGTAGATTTTTTGACTCTGGTTAACTGTAAGGGGCATGGGGATGCTGACCCGTCTCTCCATCTGGAACTTGGTTGGGTCCTTCCTTTCAAGATGGATATTTGGGCTTTCTAGTTGAGGGATAATGGGCCATACGCAGATACAGTTGCCAACTGTTAGCGCCTTACCTTGTTCAAACAGTAAAAAGGGTGGGGAATCAACGAGGAGGAAAAAAAAGAAGGGCTACCATTAACACATATAGGGCCTCTCTCCTTTCTTTCATCATGAAATGCAACTATTACCCATTCTTCAGTTTTACGGCATATTCAAGAATCAATTTCATAACCAAAGAAAGAACTTAACAAAACTTTTATTCTTTTGTAAGTTATCTACAATTTCCTTTGTAGACGAATTTTTTGAGAACCAGTTATGAGTTAACTGAGCCTTCACTGATTTAGCGAACATGGAAACAATATTCTGATGTGTTTTCAAACATCTGATATATTATCATGCTAAATGAGCTTTCGGCCATTTTATGATGAGCCTGAGAGGTATTTGCCAAAGTGCACTTTGTTTTTCCTGCTGGCTTGCAAGTTGCTTCTTGGTTCAAATGATATTTAGCCCCCGTTTGGCCCCCATTAAAATTATAATACATTTTTCTCTCTTCTTTTTAACCGCACATTCTCCAAAAAAATAATATTACATGTAAATAGAGATCTTTTCCTTCTTTTTCAACCATCTATTCTCCAAAAAAAACACTATTCCAAAAATTATAAAACCAAATAATAGTGGCCAAACGGGGGTTTAGTTTCATAGTTAGACATTTACTGTTTGGAAATCGAGAAGGCGTTTCATAATTCACATGAAAATATTGCATGGAAAAAGGCAGTTTAGATAATTAGATATAAACTTGTAGCTGTAGTATACTTTGGCAAAAAAAATGGCAGTTTTTTTGTTGCAAACTATAAATCATGTCCCAAATTGAAAGAAAAATATTAATACCTATACTTTCAACCCAATAAAACATGTCTGAATTCCATCACATTTTCTGCTAATAAATCTAAAGCACCTTTTGACATCTTCCACGAATAGGATAGGACAATACAGTACAGGAGGATTAAATTATTCAACCAAAATAATAGAAAGGAGAAAGGTGATCTTTTAGAAGACAATTAATCTGAAGAAAATTACGGGCAACAATTATGTAGAAATATTGTAACTGAGAGATTTTAGATGCTGTAGAATTCTCTGAAATTTGTCCATGGAGAATTAACAAATAGCATGTATAGGTCTGAGTCTTGCCGACATATAGGCTTCAAAATTGTCCTTTTTAAATATCTGTGGGTCTGAAGTAGGCAGATGCTGAATTCGCTGGGTTTGATAAGAGATTGAAAGGCATGCACGATCTCTCTCTCTAGTATCAATGCAATTGATATACTTGGTGTATTTGAAGTTCCTGATTTGCATTAATGTCATATTTTTAGAATTCGAGTCCCCAAGTACCTTTCTTTGCAGTTTGAAGCAATTCATACTTTGATATACAGGGCTCAACAGTACTTCTCAAGACCTTACATGTATTAAAATTTTCCTTTAACCTGAGAATTGTGAAATGACCTCTCTTTTGTACATTATTGATGACACCTGCATGGCTCCCTCTTGAGAATCCGTATGTCCCTTATGAGTGACAGTTATCTCTTGAGCATATGTGTAGTTTAGGGGTCTCAATAGTAATGAAACTTAGTCTTTCGCTCTCTTACTCCAATACAAGACGTCCATACCATAGAGAATCAAGCATGGGAAAAATAAAACTAGAACCATGCTTTTATTGCTAATTATATTTCGAAGGAACTCGTTTTCATGTTTATAATGATAAAATTCCTCCATACGCTGGTGATATAAACCTTCTTTGAATGTCTGCTCTGGCAGCAGAAGAGGCATTACAGTCTCAGGATTCAGTGCCACCAAAGTCATCTGAAGATCCCGAAGCAGATGGCTTAACGCATCAGCCGCTGGAAAGCTCGCATAATGATGGCCAACAGCATCAAAGTCCTGATTATAATAGTGGCTACACATCCCAAGATGTTACCATGTCTGATGGAGAGATTTTGAGTAAAGTCGACTCCATCAAGCAGCTACTTGTGGAGCGTACAACAGATTATGGCATTCCGCAGCTGGAAAGAATGTACACTCATATAATGAAGGGAGTTTTCGAAACAAAAAATAGTATCGAGTCCAGAGAACTTAAGTCTTCAATTTTGAACTTTTTGTTAGCGTTTGCTGAGGATCAATCAAAATTTTAGTGTGATGCCATTTCACATTGTCAACATTTGGATTCTTACTAGTTTTTCCATTGACAATGATCCTACATCCTTCAAATATTCAAAATTGTTACTTCTTCCATAACAATTATTGTGCATTGTCCTCCACCCCACCCCCTCTCCTTTCCAAATATTTCTGAAGTTGAATACCAGCTCAAGGTTAGAAAGTGTCCAGGTGAATCTGCAAAATTTTACGTCTCATTAAAGATTTAACTGTGTTGGATCTTCCAGTAATTATTTGAGCCAAGTGGTGGAAAATATTGCACGCCTGTGGTAAAAATGTGTGAACTCGAGCGTATTTCTCATGGGTTCTTCTACCTGGAGTAATTGATTTAAATCCACCAAAAGCAGCAGTTCAATTTCTATTAAGAAGAAACCTCATTTTTTATGAGTTCTTATGACCGATCACATGCTTACAAGTCTTGCAATTCGGAAGTAAAAAACATTCAGAATTTAGCCTCTAATTATTCTGCACATTCAGTCATTTTCAACCTACTCATCCTGATTACGCGATAAAGTTAGAAAATTCAGTAGCTGTATCAGTACAACAACAAATCAACAAATCGAACAATCATCGATTTGTATATTTGGTTATCCAAAGCCTTAGCAGAGCACGATTCAACATCCCCACTTGATTATTTCAAGCTCTGATGCGCCACAACGCTATGTATGCCAATAGTCTATATCCTACAAACATGATGAGCAAAATGCCAACAGTCATTGCTGGATTCATTTGTCCTACAATGTCTTGGTTGACAAATTTGCAGATGGCTCTCTCTTGACCATCATTGGTAGAGCACCCGAGCAACGAGGAAATTTGTGTCCCGTTTCCATACTGGACTTTGATCAGAAGCCGGTAGCTATAAAATGTGGTCGAAACATACTTTAACCATGATATAAAAGCTGGTACCTTGTGCACATAGAATCCTCCTGTTAAAACAAATGCTAGCATTGTGACAGTTACCACAGTTGACGCCTGCTTGGCATCCATGATCAATGCACCGAGAGCAAGGCCGAGCCCTTGAGATACAAGTACATAACCGAGCAGCACCATTAGGGTTAGCAAAAATGCGCATAAATCAGGTTTTAGCCCAGTCATCCAATAAACTATTGCGAGGAATAATGTGGGGAGAATCATCTCCATGGGTAGGTCCCCCATAATACGAGCCATGAAATACGATGATAGTGTATACATTCCCGAAGCTCTTTCCTTAACGAAAATAGCTCGCTCTTGAGGAAATGCAAATGAAGCATTGAAAGATGGTAAAACACCCCAGAAGATAGAAATGAAGAAAAGAAGCCCTAAACGATCCTGAATATCCCGATAATCAGAATGCCACCACATGAAACCGGCTAACAATGAGGCTGCGATCACTTGAAAAATTCTCAAAGAGTTAAATGTTTCATGCTTTCTCTCTTTCATGTTTCGTTGAAGAAGAATGACAAATTGATCAAACCACGTCGACAGACTAGTCACAAAACTCTGATTGTAATCACAAGTGTTGTGTTTTCCCACAATCACCATCTCTTTTAGAGCCACACTTGTGTTACCCAAGCAGGCTGCCTTCACCTCTGGGGCCAATACAGCATTGTAAGAGGATACTAGATTTTGCCTCACATTAGGCTTCTCTTTGTCCCTTGTCCCATCAAATTGGCACACCCCTACACATGGAAAAAAGGGCTTAATCATATATTGTAGTACAAAAACACATATAAAAATATCGAACAATTCAGTAAATAAGACCTATTTCTTTTTTAAGCCGTATGAACAACACACCTTACCAACCGAGCCATGCATTGGTGCAACTGCATCAATTACAACAGCACAACAATAAACTAATTCTTTCTCTCAATCAAGTTAGTCATCTACATTAATCAATTTTTTTGCATTCAATTTGATTCAATACTACATCTATGGGAAAAACCAATCTAACTACAACAAGTCAAGTCTATCCCTCGTTCTAATCTGTCGTGTCATTTTTATGTATAAGAATCTCTTAGCAAAACACATTAAAGTTCTTTCTTTAATTTATCCATCAATTAATTATAGTGTGATCTCTTAAGAATTAGTGCCAAGTAGCAAGAACTAAAGCTGTCCAAGGTTAATGGCCAGGTGGAAGTCCACTCAACATAATGTTGGTGATGGATTTGGCCCTCCATCTCCACTTCCTTTATTTCATTATTTAATCACATACAATTTGGTGGAAAGCACCCTAAGGTCCGTAACACATTGTTTTTCGTATAAAGAAGAAAAAGGAAAAAAAATATGACACCACTTTTTAGATAATACATTATTTTTTTAAGAAACGAAAGTGAGAAAACTATTATACAAGGTACTCAATATGACCTTGACCATGTAAAGTGGGGTCTCACCCACCACGAATTATGTTTTGACATGTTGGCCTAACCCATGTGAGCAACGATTTTTTAATTTTCCCAATTTTGTTCCGGCGGAACCAACCCACAAAATGGAAGAGAGAGGACCAAAAAATAGGGGTGGCAACGAGCCGAGCCACGAGCCGAAATTTGAGGCTCAGACTCGGCTCGAGCAAAATAGGTTCGGGTTTTTTTGGGCTGAGCCGAGTAAAGGCTTGGAAAAAAAATTTGAGGCACGGCCCGAACTTTTGGCTTTGGCCTCAATGGCCCAATCTGAGCTTTTTGGTTGGGCCTCACGGGCCGGCTCGGCTCGGCTCGACCCCAATTTTCGGCTCGATTCTACCTAACCTTGGGCTGTGCCGGGCCGGCTCGAGTTTTTTCCGGGCCGAGCCAAATTGACATCCCTATCTAAAATGGAGAATATAATATTCCAAAAAAAAAAAAAGAAACTATTAAATTGAAAGTATTAAATATCTAAAATATGTAGCACACTATTATATAGCATCATGATTAAATAGTCCCGATTTGCACAATCTTATACGTCATATTGAGAATTGAATAGTACTACAGTATTAAAAAAAGAATTTAAAATCTCGTTAAATATAATGTTTATTCATATACGGTATATTTGTAAAGTGTTCCTGAAATAAAATAATAAAGGGTGGATTTGTGGAGCCGTGAATGAGCAATTGCAAAAAATATTCTTGGAAAAAAAAGGGGTATCATATGCTATCGTACGTAAGGAATGTTGTCACATTTTCTTTAATTAGGTATTATAATCATTTTGTCCAACAACAAATTAAGGGTGCAAAACCTATTTTAACGTTGTCTCAAGTCAAATGGTGTCCACACCACCAACTATTATTTTATCATTATTTTGCAATAAAACTTGGTTTAGTGACATTTCAGTCCCACCATTCCATTAATTCTTGAAGAAAAAGATAGAATGACAACTTATTCTAATGGTCTAAGAACCCAAAAATATGGAGTGACGTGTCACTATACTCAATTTTGGCAAAAAAATATTCAATTTAGGAAAAATAATTTAGAGCTCCATCTTGTCTTAGTAAAGATTTATGTATAGCCTAATAAAAGCGGAGGAAGAGTCTATCTGACGAGATAAGTTCTCACTTTTTACTTTTTAACTTTTTCGGTCAAATCATAGAATAATCAAAACGGGAAAAAAACACTCTCTTAAGAAGAGACGGCATGAACTCGATTATAGATTAATAATCTAATACTGAATCGATTCCATGTTATTTATTTATTTTTTTTCAATAAAATTTGGAAGAGAACACGTATGGGTCTTAATTTCCATTAAAATTAGCATAAGATACTTAAAGATGATTAGCTGGCAATCCTATATTATTGATTCTACACAACTAATCTATGTCTTTAATGACTATCACTCATCAATTAAAGAAGATCGATTCTTATTTTAGGTTTGACACCTAATCTTACTTTTAAAATATTAAATATCTTCTTAGTTTTACTTTTTATTCTAAAATTAAAGAATGTGCTCGTAATATTCTTGAAAAAATAACTACATTAATTCGAAATGTTTTGTTCTTTGAGGTAGAAAGGATTGAATATTAAAATAGGTTATTGCTTTTTTTTAAAAAAAAACCTGTCGACACTACCCAAAAAAGATAAAGGATCAAAGTGTCGAATGAGGTCGAACTCATGGTAAAACAAAATAAATGAGTAAAAATAGAATTTTGGTATAAACAAGCCAACTTTGGGGTTGAACAGTTGATTTTGGGTGAAAACCCGCTGGTTCTTCGATTAATTTAACGGATCAAAAAATCTTAGTAATCAATTTATCGAATTTACGTTGAACCGACCAATCCGGGCCAGTTTTAACGAGTTTTAGTTTATCTAAGATTTACCAATAAAAGTGATAATACTATAATCAATCTATATATCGTTAATGTCATGACCCAGCAACGACCTCAAAGTTTCAGATGGGTTCAACCAAAATAAATAAACCTGATGGATAGCTCAAACTTCTTTTGACTCGGCTTCCTTAATCCGTTTAGGATTATTCTATATAATTTATCAATGAATTCCTAAAAAAAAAAAACACCAGATTGGTAACCTAATTAAGGGGAGAAAAGGAAAATTATAACCAGTTCTGATTTCCTGCCTCCAGTGGATAGAATAAAAACTTTTCACTACTGACGTGACTATAGTTCTCTTGTCATGTCAACGATGAAAATTTTTTATCATGTCCACTAAAACACAGGAGACCAATTCTAAAATCACAAGTTCTTTATTTTCATCTATATATATATATATATATATATAGTAGCACTATAACCCAAAAAACAGTACCGAGGACCATAAAAAATTTGATAAAACTATTGGGTCAAGTGCAAAAGCAAAAAAGCTAAGAAAAGACATGGGTCTCTAGCTATTAGCCACGTGGTGTGCATGAAAGTTACTTTCCTAAGCACTTTAGCCTCAAGATGCAAAAGCCACGACGTACCTAATTAATTCTCTCCACTAAGTTGGCTAAGAAAATCCATCTTTCCATCTCACCAAATCATAAATAAGCACCACCGCGGCCGCCATCTCCGCACCACCCCTACCGCCGGCAGCCCATATTTACTAAAGGTAGAACAATGGGATGACACAAATGGGTGTCTCAATGTCATTCGCTTGGTTAATGAGCGCGAAAAATAAATACATATAAAGTTGCAAGTACGACTTGTTACTTTCTTTTTTTATAACCGTGAATGTACGACTTGCGCGCATCTTGACTAATTTCACGGGATCCTGAAATTTACGGTCGGATACACACTTCAGTGTCCTGAGGGGACTCAAACTGGTGACCATTAGGAAGCAAATTCAATGCCTAATCAATTGAGCAATCCCTCAAGTCAAGGTTAATTACGACTTGTTACTTTTGCCAAGTTACATTGTCTGCTTAGCTAATCCTCAGTGTAACAACATGACAAAGAAATACTTGGAAACGTTAATTAATGCTACCTAAATTTTTGTTGCGCCTTTAATGAGTAAAACTTCAACATCTACTATTCACATAAAAGACCTTTCATTAGTTATAAGTCAAACTTACCTGCCCTACAGTCTTCAAACACAGAATAATTCTTTAATTATACACTTTCGGATAAGTTCGATACACGAAATTCAAAGTACTGTACATTCTTATTCAATTCAACTTATCAAATAAATTGTGCACTTTAGGTGCATGTATACGTAGAGACACAAATAAATATGCCACCCAACTACTAAACAAATTCAACATACGTATAGAATGGATCTTTGGTCCAAATTTACGATCGTTTCAGAGAATTATAACTAATGTTCTCTTGAAAGTAAACGGTGAAAAGTTTTTATCCTACCCATTGGATCGAGAAAAACGTATGTGTACGAGTCTTATTCAATACAAAGTACTAAATATAGATAGAAAGTATACGTACCATTAGCCAGATCAAGCAGGAAATCAGCAGGATTCATGGGAAAATTAGGAGAGAACCCAACAGATTCAAAATAATTCATGGCTTCATTCCCTTTACCAAAATATATACACCTCCCTTCAGACAAAACCACCACCGAGTCAAATGCCTGGTAAACTCGGCTCGACGGCTGATGAACTGACGTAACTATTGTTTTCCCCTTCTCTGCGAGTGACCCCAGCGTCTCCACCAGCCGGAACGCCGCAGTGGAATCCAATCCTGACGTCGGCTCGTCGAGAATTAACAAACTAGGGTTTATCAGCATTTCATGTGCTATGCTTACTCTTTTTCTTTCTCCACCAGAAATTCCTCGAATAAAACTGTTCCCAATAATTGTATTCTCACATTTTGCAAGACCCAGTTCGTGAATTACTGATTCGGCCATGGAAATTTTCTCATTTCTTGAGAGAGAAACTGGGAGCCTTAACAGAGAGCAGAAAATTAGGGTTTCACGGACTGTTAAACGTGGGTATAGAACATCATCTTGGGTGACGAAGCCGATTCTTTTTCGGGTAGATTTGGTTAATTTCTTGTTGTTAGCAAGGATTGATCCTGTGAGGCCGTGTCCATGGTGAAGCCGGCCGGATAGGGCATTTAGGAGCGTTGATTTGCCGCTGCCGGAGGGACCAAGGACAGCCAGGATTTGTCCTGGAGACACCATGCCCGTGATCCCATTTAAGATTTTTCTTTCTTGATTACTCCTGGCCGTCTGATTCTCAACATCAGATGATGATGTGGGCCCCCCTGTAAACATCTTTCTCAGACTGGTTGTTCCAAATTCGTTGCTGTTCTCCAGTTCTACTCCATAGCTCACGTCGATGAACTGCATGAAAACCACACCAACAAAACCTTAAACACATCAGTTAATCAAGATTTTGAGCTTATTCTCTTCTTTAATATTATTATTATAGATATATAAGTTTGTGAGTATATATGTATGTGTAGAAGAAAAATGTTTACCTTAAGGGTAATGGGATAAGAAGAGGAGAAGATAGAATTTGAATCCCAAGAAGACTCTTTGGAGGGTTCTCCATTGGCCATTGTTTCACAGTAAGTCTTAACACTTTCGTTGGAAGTATACTTAAGAAGGAAAATGATGTAAGAAGGAAGATAAATGGAAGATATGAGAGGGAAAGGAAAAATGGAATGGAGAGAGTTGAGAGGTGTTGGTATTTATTTGGTTTTGAGCAGCCAATGGTTGCCACGTCACTTGATACGTGGCACAAAACCCACATAGCTACCTGCCCCTTTGCTTTTTCAGTGTTTAGTGTTAATTGGATTCATGAACCAGCCACCAACATTCAGAACATACAAATTAATAATATATTTTTTTAATAAAAGTTTCAACGGATCATGATGAAATATTGTTAAAATGTTATACTTTGTTTGATTGACTTTATTTTCTATGAAAAATGTCATTTTTTTTACTCAAATTCCTACTTTTAATGTGTTTAATTGACAATTTTTTTAGGAAAAATATTTTTCAATTTTTTGTTCGTGACCATATTTTCTTCAAAAATAAAGAAAACATTATATAGGGAGGGCCGGAGGGATGGTTTTTATCTTACAAGTAATTCACTCCCTCTTTCTCTCTCTTATCTATAACATCTATCATCTATGTACCGATCAATAAAAAATAAATAATTATAATATTTTCTAAATTGAAAACTAAATCAATCAAACACATTTAATTAATAATTCTCATATAAATAAATTCTAAGCAATTGAATTGTCTAAAATTTATTTTATTTCTATACAAATTTCATGCTCGTAATCAAATGCACATTTGATAAAATTTGTGTGCCTATAGGATGACTGAGTAAAATTGAGCCCCTGTTTAGTTGTCTTTAATTTAATTTACTTTAATTTTATATATAGTACTTTATCTCTGTTCAACGGTTTAACTTATTTTCCTTCCTCTATATATATTCGAGTTCATTTTACACTCAAGATACATTTTTCTAGACTCTACTTAGATCTCCCTCACCTATCTCTCTGACACTCATTTTATCCCGTTTCGATTTGATTGTCAGAGTACAAAAGGTTGTCGAACTTTTTTCTCTCTCTCTTTTTTTTCTCAGCCTGGTTTTTGCACACTAATGGTGCATTTCAGCATACAGGTGATGCCTACATTGACAGAGAGGTGGTCGAGATGCTGTTAACCATTGGATTGAACAAATTTTGAGATCAATAATACTATTGATACACACTATTACTAAACACCACTAGTTCCATATAGAATTATTCAACTAATATTCTATCTATAATGAAATTATTTGGTTGAGTTTTTCCAAAGCAAAGGAAATTTTTCTTATTTGAGAACCAGCATTGAATGTTGGATCGGTAGTTGAAGATAAAAGTAAATCGAATCTATATGAAGATTTGTCATAAGTTGATTGTATTCATCGAGCAAATATAGGTTCGATTTTACAAAATAAAAAATAATAAACACCGTACTACATATTACATGAAAAACTAGAAGCACAATAACTAAATTAAGCTGTTCATCGTATTGTCGAGTCATATTGATGTCTATATCACATGAATTGGCATACATTTATTAAAAAAGTAAGAAAAACATCGAAAAGGGGCAGGAGAATATTAACCTTTTTCAAAGGAGAGGATGAGAAGAAGATGGGTTGACATCAGTCATGGTATAAGCTGAATAGCTGCTGCTCTCCTTTTATGTTGACTATTACGCAAGGATTATCCATTTTAGTTTGTTTTTATTTCTTTCAATTTCGACTTATTTGCTCAACTTTCTGTATATAGTTTATCCATCTTTAAAATTCAAACATATTTATCTTTTGTGAACACGATTATGTAAAGAATCAAGAATATAAAATAACTTATTCTTTCAAAATTAGAATTTAGTTATGTAGAAGAGTGAATCTCTCCAATTTGATTAATTATTAACGAGTAATTTTAATGTGGACGAATTCGATCGAAAATTTATTGTGTTCAAGAAATTTTATTCAACTTCATATAAGTTGGTACATATCACACATTTTTTTTGGGTTACTATTGCTTTTTATATTTGTGGTGTCATGTACCTTTTATTTATAGATTCGTTTCTATTAACAAAATAAAAACTTTCTCATTTGAATATAATATTTTTTATAATTCTTAAATAAAATAAAAGGCAAGTTAAATTCTTTTATTTTTTTAATATTATTTTCTTATTTACTTTAATTGTATATCTTTTAATAAAACATATTGATCACATTTTAATTGTAGTATAGGTGTCATGCTACATATATCCCATCATTACTCGTCGTTTCACAGTAATAATGTTTTTGAGATAAGTTTTTTCTTTAAAGTTAATTCAAATTTCATAAGCAGTGTTCACCATGTTTTTTTGTAAGGGTGACACGGACAACAGATGTCTGATCGACTCACATCCACGCAAGCAAATTCCAACACTATTTGATCGGAGACTTAGCCAGATGAGGTTACTGCATATGGATGTGAGAGATGCTCTATGATGCGAGACAAAAATGTTCAGACACCGACAACATATTTAAAGATGATTGCATATTAATAATCAATCACGAACAACTTAACTAAAACGAGATAATCTGAACTTAAACAAACAAGAGTGTGTAATAAGTAAGGGAGAAGACGAATAATAGTTTTAAATATAAAGAGTTGCATTAAATTCAAGTGTCACAGGAGTTGGTATTTATAGAGTTATAGCTGAAGTGATGATCCTTGGATGAAGAAACATGTGACTTCATCTCCCAGGTCGAAGCATCATATCATTAGCCTTCTATGCATTTAATACATTGGTAATATGTCAGCCACCCTACAACCTAAGATGACAAACTTGACACATTCTTTATTATAAACATCAATCCTAGAGATCGCCTGTGGATCTTTTAAGAGCTGGCGAGAACTTTGTCCAAGGAACTTCTAAACGGAGAGCTTCGGAATGGAGAGTTTCGAAAGCTTTCCTTTTGACTTCTCCACTTCTTTTCCCTGCCACTTTGACCAATTGGGGCTTTTGTTGACTTTTTGTCAACTTCTGGCTTGTGCTTCCATGTGGACTACCACGTAAGCTGAGTTTGGAACCTCAGTGGCGAGGCATAATAACAGTTCCCCAAGTCTATGTACGATTATTCATATAATGCGTAGACTTCTTTTGTTAGAAGTTTTTGTTGAGGTGGTCATTTTATAATAGTAGTTAGTTTTTTGACATAACATAATACTTCCCCAAGTCTATATAAATATTTATATTATAATCAGAATTTTAGAGTAAAATGACCTAATTAGAATTTGCTTAAATACTTATCGTGGATGTTGTCTGAAGCCCCGAAGTAGGAAAGGTCATTACCTTGGGATTTATTGAAATTTTGATGAAAGAGCTGAAGTCCTTTTGTGGTGAAGCCATGTACAAAATTTTTACTTAATTTTTGACAAAAGAGCTGAAGTCCTTATTGTCTACTTCGAAATTTTTTTGTCGAATTTCTTATAAAGGAAGCTAGCCCTTGTTGTCCAAAGCTGCGTAAGAAATTTTTTGCTGAAGTTGTAATTTTTTTTAAATGTTTTGAAAAAGTGAATAGTCTAGTCGATTATTGTATTTAAACGATTTGATGTCTTGTACGTTTTCAAGAAAAGACATTTGAAGCGGTTGAACTTCCTATACGTGTAGCTGTCGCCGCCTTAATGCGTAAGATGAGTGCTGTATGCGTGTTTCCAAGCACCAATTTGTTGAAAATGCATGAAATGGCCCTGATCTAATTCCTTAAATGTGAAGCACCAAATATGATGGGTGGTTCAGATTGAATATTAAATGGATGACTGGATGTACCGGATCCAAATCCAACGGCTTAGGTTGATAAGTCTTTCCTATAAAAGATAAATTCTCAAATCATTTAGTTCTTTACTTCGCAAAAGAAAACTTCCAAATATTCTCAACTTCCTTGAATTCTTAGAATTGTCGAGACTTTTTCGAGCACTTCTAAGAAATTCGGCGATTTTCCTTGTTCATTCTTCATTTCCGTAAGTATTCCTTAACTTATACTTCACACTTCACTTCACTTCTCTTCCATTTTTTCTTCAAATCACGAGTTCTTCAAATTTTGGTAGGGAGATATAGATCTTAGTGTTGTAGCCTTAAAAATGAGCGTAACCATTACCAATATTGCTGACCTGGTCCAGGCCATTAGGGAAGGTCAGAGTGCGTTAACCACAAGGGAATGTTATTTAGATTATGAAACCAGTTTTGGGGGCTGCCAAGGTTCCATCAAACGTAACTACAGCTAACCTTGTAAAGATTAAGGAAAATTATTGCATCCCTCATACCATAGAGCTATTAGCCCAAACCTCCGAAGAGAGAGCTTGCTTTCTTAGGCAGGTCTGTGTGGCGATAAGCTAATTCCTTCTGAAATGGGGACTTCATCTGCCCTTCATCCATTCTTTAGGACTTTCCTTATTTTAAATGGATTAGCACCTAGCCAATTGGTTGACACTTATTTTTATGTGGAAGGAGACCTTCCTTAGTGAGAATATGCCCCTCCATATTTTCCAGAAAAAAATTTCAACCTAGAGTTCTAGGGAAAGGAGATTCTAAGGGTTGGTATTCTTTATGTCCCTTGTGAGCTCACTCTCCTTTTGTCATAGGCCTCCATTTCTCCATTAAAGAATGGAAGGAAACTTGGTTTTAGGTAAAAGGGAAATGACAAACCTATTAGAGTGATATGGTTTTTTAGATTACACTTCCCACACACTATTATGAAGTGCATAAGTGTCTATTTCATTTTACTTGTGCAATTTTTGTATTTCCATTATTTTGAATCTCTTCACCCTGCAAGTTCGGTTGACCGCTTTGACCTTTCCAAAGCGGAGTTGGTTGTAATAGAGGACATCTATTGTCATCATTTATCTACTCACAAATTCGAGCGTCAATTTCCCACCGTTGATTCTATAAGGAGTTTGGACTAATGGCTCAAAGAGGTAAAATCCTACCTCTTGTAATCATTAGTTTCTTGGGGGATATTTGTTGATGTTCTTTTCTTCAAAGAAAAATTTTGATAAGAAAA